CATCATTCTATCCATCCATCCATTCTATCCATCTATCCATCCATCCATCCATCCATCCATCCATCCATCATTCTATCCATCTATCCATCCATCTATCATTCTATCTATCTATCTATTCATCTATCTATCTATCATTCTATCTATCTATCTATCTATCTATCTATCTATCTATCTATCTATCTATCTATCTATCTATCTATCTATCACCCACCCATTTAAATATGTTGTTATATTGTTTATTAGTATAAGTTACATGTTTCTAAATAAATGCAGCCATAATTCACTCCTTTCAAAGACCTTCAATATGTTTGACCGACAGAGTAAAGAGAAGAACTGAAAAGCTCAGATGAAGCTAGACAAAGAAGATCCTTGTAAACAAATGTATACATTTTTTTAACGGCAAAATCTGAAGAGGCCAGATGACAAGATTCTAGTGAAGCCATAGAGGAAAGAGAAGTGAAATACTCTTTTTTTGTAATGTTCCATCTCCTCAACAGTCCTCTCACATGCACAGTAAAGTTTACCTGATCGTGACGCCATCAGGAATGTTGATGATGTGCAGTTTTTCTCCTTCGTGCTTCATATAGCAGGACTTTAGTGCTTCAATGGGTTCATTCAGCTCCAGATGGATGAAGGGTTTTTCTGTTGGTGTTTCTGGCATCAGTTCACATCTGGAGGAGTTCTGAGAGCCTGCAGGAGCACAGCGTTATCAATATAACCAGTATAACACCACTCAGCATGACAAGACCGGCTCATGGGAGACTTTAGAGAACTGTGAAATATGTGCCATTTTCCCATATGTGTTATTTCTGATAACTTCACCAAAAGCCACTGTGTACAATCCTGATAGTCCCACAGTGAGTGACTGCTGGCCCCACCCTTATCTACTGATAGACCTGCCCCAATTGACTGATAGCTCCGCCCCAAACGGTTGACACTCCTGCCCTAAATTAATGATAGCTTCGCCCTAAAAAACTGATTGAACTGGCCTAAATTACAAATAGCCCAGCCCCAAAATGATTTCTAGCCCCACCCTAAATGACTTCTGCCCTAGTTGACTGATAGCTCCGCCCTAAATGATTTATAGCCCCACCCCAAATGATTGATAGCCCTGCCCCAAATGGATGATTGCCCCGCCCTAAATTACTGATAGCCCTACCCTAAATTACTGATAGCCCCGCCCTAAATTACTGATAGCTCAGCCCTAAAATGACTGCTAGCCCCACCCTAAAGACTTATAGCTCTGCCCTTATTGACTAATAGCTCCGCCCTAAATGATTTATAGCCACGCCCTAAATGATAGATAGCTCTAAACCAAATGTCCAGTTGCCCTGCCCTAAATTACTGATAGCTCCGCCTTAAATTACTGATTGCTCCACACTAAATTACTGATAGCCCCGCCCTAAATGACTAATAGTCCTGCTTATAACAAGAACTACTTTGTACATATACGGGCAGTGAAATCTGACCTTTGACCCCAGTGAATGTGATGGTCTTTGGGTTTCGTGCGTTGGTGACGGATGTGACTCCTCCAAACGTCTCCGCTGCCCATCGCAGCACTGCAGAAACATTGCCTGCAGGTGGCGCTGTGAGGATCTGCAGAGGCTTTTGGGTCGGGTGGATAAATGTTAATGAAGTCTTGTTCGTTACCTGCACAACAGACACAGACGACTTTTACTTTTACATGCAAATAAATAATAATGTTTACTCTGTTAAATATTTCAGGACATCGCAGTTGATCTATCTGACATTTGAAAAGAAATGTGAGAAGTTGATTTATTTTTAAATGTTTCTGCATGTTACAAAGATCTCTGAAGGATTATCTGACACTGAGGACTGAAGTATTGATGCTAAAAATTCAGCTATACATCACAGAAATTTATTTTATTTTATAGTACATTCACATAGATAGCAGCTATTTAAAAAAGTTAAAATATGCAATTAAATTAATTTAAATTAAATTAAATTAAATTAAATTAAATTAAATTAAATTAAATTAAATTAAATTAAATTAAATTAAATTAAATTAAATTAAATTAAATTAAATTAAATTAAAATAAATTAAATTAATTTAAAAACTTTGATCAAATGCATTTTTAAATTAAATAAAC